GTTACAACATGACGAGCTGACACAGCCAAAAACGAAAAAGGAAAACGGACGAAATTAGCCGTAGTGGATGGGTGGGTTAGTCCATGGACCAGACCCAACAGACGTTCACCTTCAAAGTCTCCGACGAAACACCGCATAGGTACGACACACGCACGTTCCACCGTATAGACCGCTGGCAAGATTCTACCTCGAAAAATAACTTGGAACTCGGCGTGTTTGCAAACCACCAATTTTGACGCCAAAATGGTTCGACCCGGGCTCGAACCGGGGGCCTTCTGTGATAGGTGAATCGTTTGGACGTTTCGTGTGAGACAGATGCGATAACCAACTTCGCCATCGAACCTATATATTCGGAGCAAGCTGGGAGCTGACGGGGACCGGTACACTATTTCACACCAATAGAGACATAGTGATAAACGACCCAAATAACCAACAAAACCCCGACCAGCTTGAAAGCACGCCTCATCCACACCATTGCAACGCAAATCAGCCATTTGGTTTTGTATCCTAACGGGTTGACTTCACAGACTTGTTGACCGTACCGCATGAACTTGACCAGTTGACGTATGCTGTCAGAACCTGCGAGCGCGTTCACAAAAAAACTGAGATCACTTACAACGCGGGGTTCACCCATCCATTTCCAGATCTCGAACGTGTACTCATACTGTTCTTTCGCCAGTTTCCACTCTCCTATTGAGTAAAGGGTTTCTGCAAGGAGGATCGACGCGTAAAGGGTTTCCGCGTCGTTAGGTATGGCGTCTTTGTGTGATTCGGGGTTTTTGTTGGCCTTTCCTTTCCTTTTTCTATTGCGACCCATCAGATTGGAGGTATTTTGATTCTTCAGCGAGATCGAGTTTTAGAGACTGACAGAGAATCGTGCGAGAGTAGGCGTACCGTTGGGCCTTTTGGGTGAACAATCTGGGGAGTAAGGAGGAATGAAAAGCCTCCACAGGCGACGTCTGCTCTTTATTGAGAGGTTGCCCATCGAATCACACATGAGTAACGCTGACAAAACCAATAAGGTTCTCGCTTTACCTTTAGACCTTCGTTTGATCTCCCCCGAGCCCGGATGTTCCGCACTCGTCATTCCCATAATTCCTTCCTTGATTTCCTTCAGTTTCTTAGGTTTGTTTGAATACAGGCCCCCCGCTTGAGAGTAACCAAGGACGAAAACCCCGGCAGGATCTCAACTACACTTTCGCAAAGCCCGCCAGCCTGGCCTGTCAAGGTAACTTTGTATTGGTGCTTCTCCGGCTCGAGGAAGCCGGAGGCTTCGAATTTCCGTATTATCAGATGATCAGAGGGCGGATATTATGCTCATGTCCGGCTATGGCAATAAGGTTTCCCAATGCTGACCGAGAGGCCCAGCTTTGACCGAATACGGGTAAAGGGAGTCAATACTTATCGCTGCCTCAATCTCCGAACTCAGCGACAACGAGGTGGCGTTTGAGCAGCATGGATCCTTCGTCGGGGGCCGGCGGAAAATACACTGACAAAGTTCCTATGAAATCACCATCCAGCACAGAAGCAGAGATCATGAGGTCGTCCGGACTTCCAACAAATTAAAACAACTCACCGGGCATTCTACAACCTCCATTTCTTGATTCGCACCAGTACATAGGATATATCTGCAACGGAGCTTTGCAGAAGATCTTGAACTGGCTTACCTGTTCGCAGTTGGTGAGGAATACTTTCATCACTTTGTCTGAATCGGAGAACTCCGAGGGTTGCTTCAGGATTGAAGAGAAAGGGTCTCAAATACGCTCAAGTAGGCCAGATCTTGTTCTCCGTTAACAAACCCGAGTCGTTCAATGTTCTACCGCACAAACGGCCGATCGGGGATATTTGAGGCTTGTATTCGAGAAAGAAGAAGCAAAGAGACGATTACCCGGCATATCAGTTGTAGGGCAAGATATACAGGCTCAACCGGATCTAGTAGCCTAGTGTTAATCAAGCCTTTGTCGAAAGGGTGAGTTTGACCGACTTGTGAGAGGATTCCCGCACCATTTTTCTGGTCTATCGTATTGCTCGTTGGTGTCTAAGCTCCTGCAGTGAGGAATTTCGGCGCGTTCAGCAAGGATTTGGAGGCCAACACGTCTCGAAATCGAGCCGTGCAATTATGTGAGGTCGAACGCTGGATTTGGAGTTTAACAACGATTGAACGAGGTTTGAAATGCCCTTACCTACGATTATGCAGTTAGCTGGAAGTCACCGTGCCATTGACGGTAGCTTTGGTCTTGGGCCGGTCATTCCGGATCACAGGACCTTCGGCAACCTCATCCGAACTCTCCCTCAGCACACTCACACTGCGCAGTCGCTTGGTAATCGTTCTTTTCCAAGTCCCACAACATCGCACGACGGCAACCTTGACTCTTTTTTTTGTTCGCATCCAGGAGCACTTATAGTGCAAGCAAAAATCACAACCTCTCGAACTCGCGTCATAGGCAAGTTACGGCCAGTCAATACCTCAAAACTCAGCATCATGTCTTCCAAATGTCAAGAAGCCTGCTCTATCCTCTGCCTTCAATGGCCATTGATTCTCACAGTTCCAAGACGCACGATTACTCCAACTCAGCGCCGCTCGAGCTTTCGGATGTTCAAAGACGCCAGCGGAAACCTCGACACAGGCAGAATCTTTATCTGCTCACCGCTGGCGCTCAACTTCGCGTCGCCCATTGGAAGCGCTACTACTGTCAATCTAGCAGTATGAGACGACTTTGAGCCTCTTGAACGACTTTCATAGCTTGGGTTTGGTCTCTCGTATCTGTGCCTCGAAGAAGCCTACCACCTATTGAGTCTCGACTCCTACATTTCTTACGATGTACGGCGACTCTCTTCAGCGGGGGTGATCAGGCAATCACTCTGTGTGCCATAAACTGACGCCGGAGCTTTTGACCCAAATGGCAGAGATTGAACAAAACGGTTGTTGCCGGCGAGCACTGCTATATCAAAACTGCTATATGAGACGGAATAGGTACTGAATCGTTCAACAGAAGCGTATTTTACAGGTGAGGACAATTATTCTGCCTTTCCGCGAATTTAAAACCGATATAGATATTCGAGGACCTGGGGTCTGGACGGTCATGCCACTCGGTGGGGATTCATATCGTTTATGAACCCTGAAGGGGTAGTAAAGGTTGCCAGCTATGTGGCTGGTGCGCTGGTGAGAATGGTCTGCCCCGTGATGATTGATGCAGATGCACTAGCGAAGGTGGCCATCCACTAGTACCAGGTTGCCAACTCGGAGAGGAGATCTGACTCTGGAAGTTCCCAGAGTTCACGACATTTTTCTGGGTCGTGTTAAACGAGTTCATCAAGTGAGGAATCGAGTTTTTCGAGTTCGAGTAGCTGGTTTGATTCCCAGATACGTTGCTGACTGAGGCTGATCCACTTATTTGAATTCCGCTGGCGCCATCGAACATCCTGATTTTTGGCGGAGGAGGGAGTAAACTGTTTTGGTTGTGCCTCATGAACGGAGAATCAGAACGAAGAAAGGGATTGGTGCTTTGGGTTTTTGGGATGTCGGACTTGGAAATAGGAGAAGGGAACCGGCTAGATGTTCCTTCTACGTCTAGTTCCGGATTGGTTGCCTGGGAACCAACCAGTAAGTCTTGCTGGATTTTCCTTAGTTTGCATAAGTTTCGATGCTCGCTACCATCTAGGAGCATACCGGGAACGTTATCAGCCGCCAACGAAGCTCACACTAGTGAGAGGATATAACATACGTTGAAAAGATCGAGAGCTTGGTCTAAGCGCTGCTCGAACCTCACGATCTCGCCCTTATTGTCATTGAGGTGGCAGATTCGTGGGAAGACACCCTTCTTGACCTTGGACTTTGCGAATCCCCTGATGTCCTTCAATGTTCTAGTAGGGTTGGTCAGTATCTCTTCGTAAAAGAGAGAGTGATCGGTGCGTACTCCATTAGATGTTTGAGGTTTCTCTCCATGGAGTCGGACCAATTTTTGTGCTCCGAAATGGAGCCGTGAACAACGTATATCACTTCGAATGCTCGACCAGCAAGCTCTTTGAAGCTATCTATATTCTGTTTCATACCCTGTGCGCCGATATCCGTTGAGTATCATATGCCAATTTCCAAACAACGGGTGGGAAGTGCCACTTATGTCGATAACTGCCGGGAGACAAGCCAACCCGGCGGCTTCTTTAAGGAAAGGTACGGTTGAAATGACGTCTGATATCTCCTTGACGGTAGTGAAGACGGTTTGAGTGATGTCCGAAGTAGTTGCCCATCTCGACTCGTCCTGAGCTTGTGAGGGAGTAACAGTAGTGGGTAGTATGGACGGGGAGGAAAGAGCAGGGAAGAAACAGAGTTCGAACCAGATCCCACGGTAATAGACGCGCAGTCGCGACTCGCGACTCGCGATCGAGACGCGACTCATAAGTGGACTCACTACTCATTTCTTGTATTCTCATAGACTGTCATAGAAGCTTCTCGAATATGTAAATAACTCATATAGCTGCGCTTTGACTCACAAAGTCCCCTTTGCTTCATATTCCAACGAACCAAATACAACTCGTCTGCCTTTCCAAGAAGGTTGCTCCAAGCAAACCTCAAGTCCTTCGACTGCCTGATGCCAGGAGAGAAATCATCTAATGCCGTCCTCCATTTTCCATGAATGTCACTTATCAACGCTCGCAAAACGCAATAATGGGGAAGAAAGGTGGTGATCCGATCGAGTAGTCGCCTCGATAAACCCACCCATTTCTATGGTAGCTTCGCTCCTTCCCAGAGTGTAGTAACACTCAGCGGCGTAATACAAGGATGTCACGATCCCGGATTCGACGAGCTGCGGTATCCGAGAGGGTGTGTCGACCCGAAGAGAGTCGCAGAATGCGGACAAGAGACAGGTGGCGATGCTATATGCATCCTCCAATTGCGTGCTCTCAATCGGCCGTTTGTGAAGCCAGGTCCATTTACGAAGGATGATGGCCAGGACCCGGCCCATCAAACGCAGAGTCTCGTTGTAGTTCTCCTCGCCCACGCAGATAGGGTTCGTTCCCCGGAAGCATTGATTACCCACGATGAGGACTAGGAAGAAGGTTCTGAAGTCGCCGATTCGAGGGTTTTTACCCTTGGTGAGGTGTCGAACCTTGAGCTGAAGCTCAACAAGAAGTCGTTTACCGGGCTTCGCATCGTTTGGATATGGTCGGGGAATGTTGAAGATTCTGCGATCATGCTCGAAGATAGATGATGTGGATATAGGAGGGTTGTGTGCATGTTCAGGAAGGTAGAGGAGTAAGGATGACCACGGTTCAATGCGAGGGTCTTGAACATCTACAAGAAAAAGCCATATTTGAGCAACAAGGGGCTGTAGATACAGTGCA